TGTTTTTACTCAAGAACGGCTTTATTGTTGGCCAAAAGTCTTTTGAGGTGGGTCCTCCTGAGCATCTTTCGAAGAAATAGTTCCTTATAGCTGCTCTTTTCATGGAGGTTACCTTGTTGCGTTGTATTCTGAATTTCGAAAAGTTCTTCTTTGTTCTGCAGTTTTCGAAGATTCGTCGGAGTTTTTTCTTATAGTTTATTTCTGTACGTAAGGTACTATTCATGAATGGTGCCTTTTCACGCCTGTGTTTCGCTTCTTTAACTGGGATGTGCTCATCGACGATATCAGCGAGCAGCCTCTCATGCATCCAACATACGTCGTCAATGTCGTCGAAGATCTCGGCTACATGGAAGGGTGCGTTTGCGACATCATCGATCAGCTTGGCTTCGTCAAGTTTCTTGAAGCTACGGTAGAAGATCTTTCCTTTGGTTTTTGCTCTGAGTTTGGTTCTCATGACACCAGCCACCAATCGGTGGACATCACTCAGTCCCGTGTCTATAACTACGGTTTTCTGGAACGATCTAGGTTTGTTTGTGAAGATGACATCGACTAAGGAGGGGTCACTGTTTTTTGTAAAACAGGTAGCCTCTTTCACAATGTTTTTTAGGTCGAATAAGTCGCTGAGTTCGGTGAGTGGCGCGCTTTTTTCTTTTATCAGCATGTCGAAGTTGAGGTCTCCAATGAGTAGGAGATTCTCGTAGTTTATGAGGCAACTGTCCAAAGAAATTGCAATGTTGTCGATAAATGTCTTTGGTGGTTGACTCGGAGGTCTGTAGTTCGCCATTAGTATCCATTTTGTATCGGTAATTTGGATTTCGATATTTACAGACTCCACTAGAGATGTATAAACTATAATACAACTGGCCATTAACTAAAGGTTTTTAATTTAAAATCACGAAATGTTAACATCGGAAACAAATGGCATCTGAAAGTTGTCTGGTGTACACTTCTTTACTCGTTTCACATTCATACGCGTACGAAACCGATTTGAGTGCGAATCACACACAAAATTCGCTTCCGTTTTTGAATGTCATTTCCTGTTTACAAAAGAAAACAAATCGAAAGGAGCTTTCTTCGATTTGTCGAAGGCTTTGAGCCGGAAATTTGGCAGGGAAAAGACGTTTTGTACGGTGTGTACAGAGTTCAGTACAGAAGTAGATTCCTCATTTGTGAAAGGTTTTGAAACTGAAAAAAATAATTTTCAATAAGTAATTTCAAATTTGTAACTGTTATTTTATATATATTTAATTGAGAAAATCCTGAAAAATATATGGGCAAATATTATGTCATTCGGGAACGTACATTTTACAAAACACTTGCCCTGAAGGGCAAGTGGCTCAAAAAGTTGTTCGTGCAGACAAGTAATTTCGTAGTGTCCTGTTGACTGTGCCAGTTTGTTGTAGTGTGGTAGTGTGGTGTGGTGGTGGTGGTGGTGGTGGTGTGGTGTGGTTGTAGTGTTGTAGTGTGGTGTAGTTGTAGTTGGGTCAAGGATCCACGACAAACAAAAAAGAAGTCTAAGATAGGCTATAGTATAGTATGGTGTGTCCTGAAGGTTGGCCAGTCAGCCCATTTATTACTCTGCCCAAGTAACCAAAATAACAGGAAGAAAAAACACTGAAGTCTCTGCCAATTAATTGACACCTAGACAGGCCTTCACTCCAATAGTATAATGTACACTGGTATTCTTCTCCAGACACCCTGAAAAAATGTGTATACTGTACAATGCACAATGTCGTATTTTCGTATGTAACACCCAGGGGTCTATGCAGAATATTCTCCCACTCTACAGTACTACACTCCTTTTTCTACACATTTTCGTAGTCGCCCACTACCTCAGAGTTGTAGGTTTCTTGTGATCATACAGAACCTACATTTAAACAGTATAGCCAGTGTAAATTTAAAAAAAAGAGCAACATCAAAACAGGAACACGGAGATACACGCCCGTACACGTGGGTACACGCACGTACACGCACGTACACGCGGATACACGCGGGTACACGCACGTGCACGCGGGTACACGCACGTGCACGTGGGTACACGCACGTACACGCGGGTACACGCACGTACACTCGGGTACACGCACGTGCACGCGGGTACACGCACGTACACGCAGGTACACGCACGTACACGCAGGTACACGCGGGTACACGCACGTACACGCTATCCTGTGCTTCGGAGGCTCGATCGAGGGTCGAATATCAGTACCGTACTTGCATATGCACACACTGTACTTATACGTGTACGCACGGCTTAAGTACGCGCAGCACGCAGAGCCTAACTTAGTACTTAGCCTAGCCTGGCATGCATATAGCGCATACCAGGGCTCGACTTTAACGGTGACCCGGGTGCCGATGGCCACCTGAAACTGTGTACAAATAAAACAATACAAATATTGAAATAATGTTAGTTTGGTATCTACAGGGTTCATGCTGTAGGACATATGTTTCTAGTTGGAGTTGGAAGTGAATATTACATTTCAAGGTTTCAGTAATGCATGTGTAACCATCAACTCATAGGTAGGACATCATTAGTACAGAGAAAATTAAAAACTTGAAATATGTAAAATAATTATATATTTTCATGGGTCACCTCTGCTTTCTGGGACTTTATATCTAAGTAGATGGTTGATATTTATTTATGAATAGCAGGGGCGTAAATCCCGGGGGATGGGGTGGATGCACCCCCCCCCACTCTTGAAGGAGTCTAGGGTTGAGATAGTGTCATCAGACATGAGAATATGGCCCACAGTATGCCTCAGATTGCAGGAAAATGGCTTAAATATTTCAAAATTTTCTGGGGGGGCATGCAGACCCCCCTAGCACTGGCATACCTACGCCACGCGGGCCTGCCTGCGGCAGCCAAGGTTAATTTCACCCGTATCATGATCAGTATCGCCGATCATTCCCTCCACTCCTCGGTACGGATTTACACCCCTGATGAATAGTCTTGTTTCTGTGAGACGAACTTGTTTATTCTTAGTTGAAGCCTGCAAGCTCAAGGTCTGTGTTAGTTTTATGTATATATTTTATATAGTTCCTTTTATTCTTTTAGTTTAGTTTGCACTTTAGTTCATGTCTTTTTAATTAATAAATAGTTGATGTATTCTTTATGTAATAACCTAGCATCTTGGGTTTTTAAAGGCAAAACTGTTGTCAGGAACATGAAGATAAACAAAAGATAAAAGCTAGTTGAGCGATGTTATAAAAGTGTTTATATCATTCAGCAATGTTATTTTTTGACTATTACCAGGTTGAAGAAAATGATAATTTCTGTACCACCTGAAAAAGATTCACTATTTCATATTCTTTATTCCTATTACATGTATTCATATTGATGCAAATTATATACTTCACTATAGTTGACATGTACATAGACATGTACTGAAAAAGTGTTATTTCCATTTTTCTTCCATTTGAAAATTTGAAATTTTCACCTTTGATGTGCACCAGATCGCTCCATTTTAGTGCAAAAATTGCAAAAGCTCTCTGCTGTGGGAGGGGGAAACCCCCCCCATACCCTCCCCCCGCTCGGTTGCTTTGCTCCCTCGTTCGGGCGCTCCACGCCCTCACACCAACCCCCCCCCCGCTTGGTCGCTTCGCTCCCTCAATTGGGCCCCCCTACTTTTAAAAACGTGGCGCCGCCCCTGTCATTTACAACAATGTCAGAACTATACTATAGTCATGATAGTCCTGTTTGATGCCAGACTGAAACAGTGTGGTAAAAATGCATTAACTTAGCATTTTACACAATAACTTTACACCTATGTACAAATTGAAACATTTTTTTGTCAACAATGTCAATGATCATGTAATTAATTTGAGGGGATGTGATGACACTGATGTGGTATAGTGTTTGCTAGAGTACAAGAAACGATCGCCGAAATCTCGGTACGGTAGTTTGTTTATAGGTGTGTATTTATTTTGTAATAATATTAAATTGATAAATGTTTACCTTATATTTTACGCTACAATCAATGTCCTGACACTTTTGTGGAGTTGGCATAGTTTATATGGTAGGTTGTGTGTGCACAATCCTAGTTTGGGACCCCACCCCTCATTTTCCGACCAACAAAGTGGCTCGTGCTCCAGTAACCGGACCACGAATCCGTGCTCCAGCAATCCCAGAATGCACTGCAAAGTCATGCAAAGAGCATTTCTCAGCGCAATAGAAAATGGCGGCACACAAATCTTGTATGTTTTTTGTTGGGCAAAAGTGTACCTACGCCCGTGTTTTGGAGGAAAACGGTTTATTACAAGAGGCATGGGGAAGTCAAATTTGAATTGTGATTGAAAAAGCATGACTTGACATGACTTGACATTGAACGAGACCATGACTTTGCAATGTATTCTGGGATTGCCGCAGC